CTCTATGATTCGGAATAAGTTAATCTATTACCGATCACACCACTAGTTGTATTTATAAGTGTATTCTCCCAGTACAATTGTTGATGAATCTAATATCTTACTGCATTAACCTAGAACTCTAGTCTACTATTCCAATAACATAATACAGCCTTCTAACAATCTGTCGACTCATACTATCCATATTCCCAAGTATTTACAAGTATTGTCTCCTTGTGAAATAGCTCATGAATCTAATATCTTACTGCATTAACCTAGAACTCTAGTCTACTATTCCAGTAACATAATACAGCCTTCTAACAATCTGTCGACTCATACTATCCATATTTCCATGTATTTACAAGTATTGTCTCCTTGTGAAATAGCTCATGAATCTAATATCTTACTGCATTAACCTAGAACTCTAGCCTACTATTCCAGTAACATAATACAGCCTTCTAACAATCTGTCGACTCATACTATCCATATTTCCATGTATTTACAAGTGTAGGCTCCTAGTACAATAGTTGAGGAATATAGTATTTTACTGCATTAACCTAGAACTCTAACGTACTGCTCCAGTAATATAGCACTCTATTGACTTATACTAACCACCTTCAGATGTAAACATTATTTTTTTTCTCATCAGTAACCTCCGGGTATTCTACTTTAGCATTACTACAATCTATTATTTTTTTCTGTTAATACACTATGAAATTCAAAGATTTACCAATATATAAAGAAGTATCTTAATATTATTGTTCCATGGTCTCATATTCTTTATTGTAACGTCCTAGCAATGTAGAGTTACATATTCGAAACAAGATTAAGCTGCATACTTCTATTAGTAAAATAAAGTATTATTGTTCCGTAAAATATTTCCCAGACGTGTACATTAAAATTTTAATAGTTTAATGTACTTTATTAGTACAATAACGTAATGTCCTAGAACTGTAATATTCTAATAATCTTTTATTACCCTGGTTGTCTACTGTGGAGTTCAATACAATGTCTTCTCAACGTCAGTCTTTTAAAATATTTTAAAGTTTTAAGCAAATATCGGAGACTCGTAAACATAATGAAATGTAAATAAAAACGAATTTAGTTTCAGAACG